TCGCTGCTCGACTCCTCGCTGCTCGCCTCTAGGGCTTTAGTATCGTTTCGAAGTCTGGGCCGCAGCACTCGATGGTTGCGAGCGTTCGCAGTGAGCGGTGGAGTGCGGGTCAAGTCCACCACCACTCTGCTCTTGTAGGTCTTGGTAGTGCCAGATCGGGCTTTGCGAGGGCTGGCAGGTGGAGAGTCGACGGATTCCAACAGTGGAGCCGTGTGGGAGGCGGGTGTGGGTGCAGAGAGAGAGCTGGTAGATGAGGCAGAAGCGGATGAAGAAGCACGCTCTGCTGCGTTCAGAGGGCTAGGCGAGCTGCTAGCTGCGGAATGATGCTTGGCCGAGTGTGAGTCCATTGCGTCGTGCTGGATGCTTGGCGGATACTTCACACGACGATGGCGTCCGCGGGCAGACGGACCGCCTAAGCGCATCTCTAGTTCCTCATTCTCCATGACTTTTTGAGATTTTCGCACTTGGCGCTTTGACCTGCTGCTTCCCATAGCCGAGTCATCGCCATCCTCGTTGTCGGTCTGACGACTGCTTGGTCGACGCCGCGCGGCCACACCGCTTCGAGGCGGCAGAGTGGCCGGCATGGCGAAAAGGGCGTGATCTTGCTGGGCGCAGGCAGAAGCAGTGATTGCGGCGACGCCAACGTGAGCCTCTTCACCAGCCAGCTACTGATTACGCGCTGCTCTTGATGGTGTATGTGTGTGTGAGATGCGTTTGCAGCTGTTTCAGTTGGGAGCACGAACGCAGCAGACGTAAGCCCATACGGGCGATGAGGGCGTGACGCGAGTGGGCGGGGCAGGGCGGGGCGTGCAGCAGAGGCCAGAGGACGAGCGCGCGCGCAGACTTCCGCTCGCTCCCGCGCTCGCGCTTCCGACGTTCGCGATCGGTCTAGTGAGCAGCGCCCTTGCGCGGCTGATGGTGCGCTACAAAAGGCTGCTCTGCGTGGCTAAAGAGTGCTCGGCTACGCTGCGATTCGCACGAGTGGCCGAGAAGCAAGTATGATAGCGGAGGCTCGTCACTGGGACGACTGGAGAATTGAGAGTCTCAATCAAGAATGATGCTGAAAGCAAGATGGATGATGTTCAACGACGCTAGACACCTTTTATTTGGCGTGGGATCATGGTCAAGACGAAAGATGCGGAAGCGTCGCTCTGCACGTCGCCTCCTTTGCCCCACAGCTCGGGCCGCGTCTTGCTACTAGCTGGCCCTCTTGCCGCGTGCTGTGTGACGCTGGTACCGAGCAATCTCGTCGCCATGAGCTCGTGAGCCCTCAACGCGCGCCATCTAGGCACTCAAGATCTACCATCTAATCGCAGTACTACTATCTTTTTTGCCTGAATGGATGAGTGTAGAGGTGCGACATATCAAGCACAGACAACATGATGAAAAAAGTCTCGTCCGGTCATGACCACGGTCCAACTTCGTTCTACCAAAGGAAGGACTTGTCGTCTTGATGGGGGTCAACGTCGAATAAGGTGGCGCTACCTCTGACTGACCCTGTAAGCACCGAAATCGTGTCACATGTCCAGAGAGCTCGACGACGATGTGCAGATCTAGGCTGCCTCCCTGGAAACACCCGCGCTACGACCTTCGTGTTCTCTCCTGAAAGTCGCGCCTTCACAAGGTTGGCGTACCAAAAAGCCGTCCCTCACATTCCGCGACGGTCAAGGCGAATGTCGTGATCATTCATCCACGCTCGAGTGAGACTTTCTTAGGAGAGTAATGATTGCTGGTAAGGGGGCATGCGTCTATGCCTGACACGCTGACGCTGACAATTTCGATCATTCGAGTCCACGCCATTCTCGTAACGATAGCGATGGAAGACGTCAAGCTTCATGGCAAGATGCGGCGTAGATCAAGTAAGCCCATGGATGCAAGGTTCTGTGAGCCCAGCGCCATAGTCCCAATTGTTCTCAACCGAAGCCAAGCAGGTGTGATGTTGAATGTGCCACATGGTAGGACAAGGTGCGTCCGCCACCTCGACAGACCGTAGAGACTTTTGCATACCTCGTATTTGTTTGGAAGAAGCGGGAGGCCGCTAGTCAGTCAGTCGATAGATTGTCTCAAGGCATCGTCTTATGTAAACTCCTCCACCGCTATTTGCCCGTCTCAAGGGGGCAGGCGCCGTCACGCACCTCAGCCAGCCTCGCAATAATGACACTCTTCGCCGTTCGCACACTCTTCGCATTGTTCATGGGTGAAAGGCAATCAAAGGACTCGCAAGATTAGGCATTTGAGCTCTTCAGACAAGGCTCTCAACCTCGCAAGCAGTAGGCGGCATTTTTGAATGTCAGGTATCGCCAAGACGATAGCGACTGGCTTTGACCTTGTGGCGGCGTCGTCCCACTCTTACTTGCCGCTGGCCAAAAAGCAAGTCCTGGAAGCAAGACTTCGCAGCCCGCGCCTTGTCCCATATATCTGCATGCTACTCACCATGACTTGA